GTTAGAGCAGTGAAGGCAGCGAGTGGGGAGACACCCTCACTGACCACCACTGAGAGAGTTATCAGTTAACAGAAGTGGCAGCTGCTCCCTTCTAGTCACTGGCGGTCAACTCGAGGCGTGCAAACGGAAGAAAGCTTATGGCAGCCAAGTTAGATACAACAACAGAAATGAGGACGTTGGGAGGGGAAAGTGTTTAAACAACAACAGCGGATATAAGCCAGAGGAGACTTTAGAAGTTGCTCATGGTTGCAGCTCAGGGCAGGCAGATGAATTCTAAAACGCCCACCCCATTGGAGCTTTCCCCCGTGAGTGGATGGAACATGCAGAGAGGATAAAGCACACCCGTGACGAAAGCTCCTTTATAGAGCCGAAGGGACTGCGCGATGTAGTTAGGGAGGGAGATTATCCAGGTGGACCCAATGCAATCGGGAGGCTGTGAAATGCAGAGGTCAGAGACACAGGAAGTAGAGCTGTGAAGCACGAGATGGGACTGATGTCCTGTTAATGACTGCGGGCGGCTTCCTAGAGCGGAGTGGCTGACAGGTGGCACAGAAGCGGGGACTCAGTTCTCCAACAGCAGGGAACTGAATTCTCCAACAACGAAAATGGGCCTGGCATTGAATTCCCCCCTCCAAATCTCCTGTTGAGAACTGTTATGTTAACACCTTGGTGTCAGGCATGTGATCCTCTGAGCAGAAAACCCAGTTGTGCCGCACTGGTACTTGTGACCTATGAGCTGGGAAGCAGACGTTGTTCTAAGCCACTAACTTCGTGTTGTTACAGAGCAAAAGAAAACGAATGCAGGGCTACAGAAAGATGCAATCATGGCAAAAAGAGAAGGCCCCACTGGGGATCAAAAAGGTAGACAGCCAGCAAAGCAAGTGTGGGGCTCCAGTCCTGAAATAACATCGAGGGCAGAGCTATTCAGATGAAACAATGTCCAGGGCTACAGGGCTGCCAGGGCACAAAGTCATGGGAAACCTGATGGGGGCAGTGGGTCAGCAGTAGCCCGAATATGGGTGGGGCAGGTCCTCTGCCCACCATCTCATCAGAAGCTGGTCACCAGGAGCTGCCCCATCCCTCCCCACGGAGCGCTGCCCTCGGCTGCTGCATGTCCTTTATTCCGAGCTGCAGCAGGTGGGAGTATTTCCACCCACTTCAAACTCAGACCTCAGAAAGAGTCACAGCCTGACACTCACAGGGCACCAGGACAAGAGGGGGGACAGAGGAGGGGAGATGGAAGTGCCTTCCTTTTGAGGGGCTTCCTAAGAGCCAATTCTCTGCCAGCTCTGAGACTCTCTGAGTTCAGTGAGTGCCCAAGGAAGCTGAAGGCTGAAGAGAAGGCAGTGGCTGCAGCAAATGAAAGAACAGGTCCAACGAGAAAACCTGAGGAGAGGAATGAGAGGGAGAAAGTTCTGGAAGGCAACAGTTAGCAGCTCCTCCGTGCAGGAAATAAAGGTAGTAAAGCCCTATGGGTGCTGTTCACCCACCCACTGACAGAGGAAGAAACTCACAGCGTGCAAGAGGGCCAAGTGGCTCTGTAAGGGAAGGAATGGGGTACGAGCACCTCAGGAGAGGAGGCATGGCCGCTCACCCTGGAGTCCCACTCGTTGAGGGTCTTGATGTTAATGAAGGACACCTCCCCGTTGGCGCCGGTCATGACACCATCATGCTCACAGCGGACAATGAGGTCGATGTCCTCACCCAGCTTCCACCTGCGGTAACTGCAAAGAAGAACCCCATTGGACTCCGGTGGACCTGCCACTCCCATGGGACAGAGTCTACACCCCAGAGGGGACATACCGGTAGGCCACCGAGGCAATTTCATTCTTATCCATGTCATCCTCCACAAAGGGGTTCGGGTTGGGGAAATTGTATCGCTCCTTCCCCTGCAAGAGACCAGGTATCCTAGACAGCCCTAACCTGGCTGCTGAGGCCAGTCAAACTGACCCAGCAGCGGCCTGGGCCCCTCCCAACGCTGAGCGCCAGCCTTGCTCCTCGACCCTGCCTCACAGACAGACCACCACCAGACAGAGCACATTTACTTGGTGATGGCCGCCATGCTCCCTTCACGATGATGACGTGTCATCAGGACAGGGATGTGGTCACTGTTGTATCCCCAGCACCCAAATCCGTATGTGTGAAACCATGGAGGGAACCCCTACTGCATGGGAGACCAGTGCTATTCGTATTCTAACTTTTACAGGAAACACGCCCAGCACCACAGAACTGTTAGGGGGCAGATCAAAGGCAGCTTGCCCCCTAAGTCCCAGCTTGGACCACAGCTGTCCTGCTCAATGGGAGTGGACTGAATCACAATGGCGCAAGCCCAGCCGGTCCCTCACCATTCTCAAGCATTGCTGGGAGAAGTTGTGGTTGATGTAAGTAGCTTCCATGGCCAGGTTCCGGGGGGAGTTGAAGGAACTGCCTTCATCCTGAGGGGGCTCGTTGGCCGTCTCACTCACAGTCAGGAGGTCTGCAAAAGTGAGGTTCCATCACCCACCCACTCACCCACGTAACCAAGAGTCACCCAACACACCTACCACCTACTGACGTGGCAAGAATTTTAGACACTACGCAACATCCATCACACAGAAAAAGATTCTTTTTGTAAGCTTTCTAGATCCTCACCCCCAAAAGTGGGACTAAATGACACCAAATACTCGTAAACTCACCTTGGCTTTACTTCCTTTCCTGTTAGTTTCTGAGTGACCTGGCTTGCTTTCATGGTGGGAGTACAGACGGGTATAACCCCCTGCTGAAGAGCCGACTTTGACTCATGGCGTCTCTACAGGACAGAGTAGAACTGCCCCAGACTTCCCCGGAAAGGCAGCTGGTGGGTTCCAACTGCACACCCTCTGGTCAGCAACCGAGTGTTTAACTCCTGCACCACCAAGGTTCATGTGCACGCACACCTCCCTAGAACTCTGCCCCCAAATGGTACTCATGTGAACAGCACCTTCCTGACGTCTGCCACCTCTACACGCTCTCTCTAGTGGTCAGTGTTTGCGGGTAGGTTAGTGGTCAGTGTTTGCGGGTAGGTGGCTTTTTCTTAAATGTCCGTGAAAAGGAAAATACAGACGCACCAATCTTCTAGTATGGCAGAGGTCACGACACCAGACCCTGTGGAGTTGGTTCTAACTCAGTCACCCTGAGCTTCCCAGGCTGTAATCTTTACGGAAGCAAACTGCTTCAGCTTTTCCTCATGGAGCAGCTGGTAGATTTGAACCATTGGCCTTTGGGTTAGCAGCTAAGTGCTTAACCACCACGCCACCGGGGTTCCTTGAAGTTAGGAGGATGCTGTTCAAATAAATACCACTTGGTGAGTATCAAGGAGCGCAGTGGCTCTAGAGGATAAGCACTGGACTGTGAACCACAAGGTTAGGAGTTTGAGCCCACCAGTCACTCTACGGGAGAAAGAGACTTTCTGCTCCTGTAAAGCTTTACAGTCATGGAAACCCTACCCAGTGTCGCTGTGAGTCGGAACCGACTCAGTGGCACTTAACACCACCACTAGGGAGCTGAGGCCTCCAGAAGACACAGTTCCTTCTTGTCTGTGGGAGTGGGCTGGGGGACAGACCATCGCCTACCCGCTCCTTAGCAGGTATTGCTCCGAACTAATGAATACCAAGGGCCTCCGAGGGTCCTCAGCCAGGATTCTTACCGAAGTCAGAGTTGTCCCTCTTGTCAAAGAAGAGCTTGGACCCGACTCTCTGGACGACGATGTCCCAGGAATACACGGAGCGAGTACAGCTCATCAGTGTGGCCAGAATGGCATCGGTGGCAAACACATTCCCCTGAGTTTTTGCCAGCTTTCTGATGACAGGGTCGTCCGTGGTGGTGACAGTGTGGAAGATGCGCTTGATGCTCCGCAGCAGCTTCTCGTTCCTCGTGGTGATGCGGTCAAAGGCTTTATCGTAGTACTCGAGGGCTCCGCAGCACTCGCTGAGGGAGAATGGTGACACCCGTCAAGTAAAGGGAAAGGAAGCCCGGCAGAACCAGGGAGGACACGTAAAACGCCAAGACCTGGGCTTCCTGTGGTTTCTAAAGGATGGCTCTAACATGCAGCCCAACTAAAGCCAACACCGATTTTACTTCGTGTAAGAGATGAAAACAAAACGGATTCTCAGTGCTTGCTCTACTCCCCAAATCCTCGGTTCCTGATTTGGCTCTCTACAGTGCCGAGAGCAAACCACAGCCATCCCAACTGTCCCATTTTAAAGACAGGGAGACTGAGGCCAAGACAGTGGACGGTGAGGTAGATAGGCCCCCAGGTGGGCTGACTCTGACTGTCCATCACTGCACTGTCTCCTCAAGACACCAGATTTCTGAAGAATTATGTGCTTCTCTCTCTGCTCAAAGCCCTGTACAGCTAGCTTCTTTTTTGTTGGCTTAGAATGTCAAGAAGCTGCAAGACGCTGGAGGTTTGTTTAATTAACAATAACTGCTTTCTAAGTTTCCTCCCTTGGTCTTATTTTTAAACACGTGTTAATCTTACTCAATAACTTCTGAGCAAGTGACTTTTTAGAAATAGTTGGGCTTCATCCCCAGGAGCCCAGTGAAAAGGTTGGGATAGAACATGCTCACATGTCCTGTGGCTCCGACACTTCCAAGTAGCGCATCTTCATTAACTGAGGGAAGTCCATTTCCTCTTTGACCTCCCAGTCGCTGCGTACTTCCAC